TGGTGGTGAGAATAGGAGCATATTTTAAGCTCCAATCTGTATCTATAGTGCTGTATACACCATATATAATTAGTGATTTGCAAGATAACCGGGCCACACATACATGCTGTCACTTATTATTGATCAAATCTAAACAATACCCTACATCGTACCTGCGTAATGTATGGTTCCTGCCTAATGCATGTTGTGTTTCCATGTGAATAATAAAAGGTAATGTACCCCCATGAGAAGAAAACCCTCTTCTTGGATCCACTTGGAGAAGGGAAAGGCAAAACGAAGGTGTGCCTGCAGTCTACAAGGTACATTGTATACAGTGTACTAGTTCCGGTGTTTTATGAGTATTTTGACAATGATGTGCTGCATCTTGACACATGTACTATCTACATACTGTAGAGCCTTTATGAGGATGAAAGGCTGCAAGGTGTCAAGATGGACATGCAGCACCCTCCCCCATAATCGCCAACAAGACAGCACATCCTGTGGTGTCCTGGCCTTAAAAGTGAGTGTGAAATGCATTTAGCCAAACATTACTCTCAAACTCAAATTCAGTAGCAATTAGACTGAATATCTTGACTTGCTTTTATACATCTTGATCAAAGATGTATTGAATTGTGTCAAACTACACATATACAACATGTCATTCTTTAAATCTGTTGGGTAATTTGTCTGTATTCCATTTGAGGGTAAAATCATAGACCATGCAGTCCATATACTAATCAAGGTTCTCTTCAGTTTGCAGAGAACATTTTACTGGGGGAGGCAATTGAGTTTGAAACCTCACAGAAGGCAGTGCACGAGCTGAGGCTGGACATTGCTACTTCTCTCCTCAGAGAATCTGGTTTGTTACCTTTTCTCAACATTGTCAATGACTTCATGTAGTTACTTTTATTAATTGTATCTCATAAGTATGCATCAATAACCTAGTATATTAATAATGTGCCATGCAAATTGTTGTATTGTATCACTGCTTGGACCATTGGTACTGTTGGGTTAATATTGACCAGGGAAATTATCAGGGTTTTAAAAGCAACACAGTGGCTTAAGTATAGATTAGGGTAAATAGTCACTACATACAGTATATTGTGTATCTCAACTCCAAACAGATAACATATGAAGCATCACAGGCAGGCATCTTCAACTGCAATTTCATATAGGCTACACACATCACACTCTAACACACCCTTTCAATTCTGCGGTTTATTTAAGATGTGAGATTTCCCCATCTTCCTCCTTTCAATGTGCTCATTGGTGTGTATTACTTTTAACTGATATCCTCAGTTAATTTTTACCTTGAACTTATTATAATCAAAGCTGTAAAGCTAATACATGTGATGAACAACAAAAGAACCATGAGAACCAAACTTAAATTGATGCGTACAGTGCGAAAGAAGTTTTTGGATGTTTTGTAAGGACATTGTGCAGGTTCCCATTCTAAAGAGGGTGAAAGAAGGAGCAGATGGCTCCTCTGTCCTCAGATTTAATCATTTAGAAAATCTATGTGTTTGTGTGTGTTTTGCCTATTCTTCACACAAAATAATAAAAGACCACAACAAATGTGTCCTTATATAATTGACCTTTTAGTCAAAAATTGGAATGGGTCACCTTGACCCCAAATCTGCAATGTGGTTTATCTGAAGATATTGATTACGTTTTGTCTCAACAGATGATCTAAGCAGGCTTTGCTTTTACTGCGGGATGGAGGAGCAGGATGAAGAACATTGGGTAATTTCCTATTGCACATTACAAATAAAGAAAATTAGCAGAAATATGTTTCCAGACTTTATCAACATAACATTTGCGTTGGTAATTGCTACTATATTTGGCATCTTCAGCATTAGCTGATAAAGGATTAATGTTTTGCTTGTTTTTCCATACATTTTTGTTGAAAATGTATTTCTTTCTCATAACACAACATTTATGTTTTTGAAAGATTTCGATTATTGAAGGAATGGTTAGAATGTTAGTGGGAAATACATTAGAGATATTCTATTATCATAACAAAATCCCATAATGCATACCTTACATAACAAGTATTTATTGTTTTCTCAGATTTGCTGTGACATTTGTCAGCAGTGGTACCACCACCAATGTGTACAAAGGCCGCCAGTTGATCAACCGTACTTGTGCCCTGGATGCACATAATGCCCCGAAGGAACCATCATTAACTGTCCACTGTCATTTCAACCAATGCAACTATTGTTTGGCCTGTCATAAAATGCACCCCACCCCAAAAGAGGTTTCTATGAATCCCACCGTCAAGCATTTTTCAGGGTATGGTTCTAGGACTGGTACCAATAAATGGAGCAAGTTTCATGAATGTCACACTTTAATTTTGTAAGATAGCAAGGGGGGGCATATTGTGATGGCCAGGCCTGTCATAAAATTCCCCCCCCCCCACTAAAAGAGGTTTCTATGAATCCCACCCTCAAGCATTTTTCAGGGTATGGTTCTAGGACTGGTACCAATAAATGGAGCAAGTTTCATGAATGTGACACTTTTATTTTTGTAAGATAGCAAGGGGGGGCATATTGTGATGGCCAGGCCTGTCATAAAATGCCCCCCCCCCACCAAAAGAGGTTTCTATGAATCCCACCCTCAAGCATTTTTCAGGGTATGGTTCTAGGACTGGTACCAATAAATGGAGCAAGTTTCATGAATGTGACACTTTTATTTTTGTAAGATAGCAAGGGGGGGCATATTGTGATGGCCAGGCCTGTCATAAAATTCCCCCCCCCCCCCACCAAAAGAGGTTTCTATGAATCCCACCCTCAAGCATTTTTCAGGGTATGGTTCTAGGACTGGTACCAATAAATGGAGCAAGTTTCATGAATGTGACACTTTTATTTTGTAAGATAGCAAGGGGGGGCATATTGTGATGGCCAGGCCTGTCATAAAATGCCCCCCCCACCAAAAGAGGTTTCTATGAATCCCACCCTCAAGCATTTTTCAGGGTATGGTTCTAGGACTGGTACCAATAAATGGAGCAAGTTTCATGAATGTGACACTTTTATTTTGTAAGATAGCAAGGGGGGGCATATTGTGATGGCCAGGCCTGTCATAAAATGCCCCCCCCCCACCAAAAGAGGTTTCTATGAATCCCACCCTCAAGCATTTTTCAGGGTATGGTTCTAGGACTGGTACCAATAAATGGAGCAAGTTTCATGAATGTCACACTTTTATTTTGTACGCATAGCATATATGCTGACAAAGACTATGTAACATTTGTAAACATATTTAGATTATTAGATGACAACTATGTAAAATTAAACAATACATTTTAAAGCACGTTTATACAGACAGGACGTAACAATAATGATAAAAAAAACATTTAAAAAAACAAACTGAAAAGGAAGTGACGAACGAATTTCGACACCTCAAATACGGAGCGAAAAGTTAAACCAGAAGAATCAAGACTATGAGCTACCACTAAACAACTCACAGTCTGAAAATTACCATTAATAAAAACCCTGAACGTTTACTTTTCGTTTTAAACATCGTTTTAAGGTGTAAACCTATGGTGTTAACGTGTCATTTAGAGGTGAAACGTGTCATTTAGAAATGCGCGTTCCCGTGACAAGGGGGGCATTTCATGACGGGGAGGCATAATGTGACACAACACCGGGACATAAGGCTGAGATGCTCTGACAAACAGGAAAGTGGACAAGATTGTCCTGTTTCACTTGGCACATCCATAGGTCAAGTTTACGCTGGAAAGCCGTGATCGTGTCGGACATCTGCGTGATGACTTGTTTGCGTCCCTGCAGCTTCTGATTCAGTTGGGCGAGATGCTCGGTTATGTCACACAACATAGCAAAGTCACACAGCCAGTTTGGATCTGACAGTTCAGACAAGGGTTTTCCTTTACTCTGCATGAAAAGAGCAATGTCTTCCCTAAGCTCAAACAATCGTTTGAGGACTTTGCTCCTACTCAGCCACCTTACTTCAGAATGGTACGGCACGTCTCCGTGCTCCGAGCCCATCTCCTGCAAGAACAGCTGGAACTGACGATGATTCAGGCCACGCGCCCGAATGAAGTTCACTGTCTTCATGACCGTGGTCACTATATCATCCATCCCCAGCACCTTCCCGCACAAAGCTTCTTGATGGATAATGCAATGATACGTTATCAGAGGCGTGTGACAGTTACTTTCTTGCATTTTCTCCTTCATTAGTCCAACCAAGCCCACTTTCCTTCCACATATTGCAGGTGCACCGTCTGTAGTTAATCCCACCAAGTTTTCCCATGGCAATGCGTTTTTACTGACGGACTTCTCCACCGCATCAAAAATGTCCCGTCCCGATCCCATGCATGGCAGCCACATCCAACAGCTCCTCAGTGACAGAGAGGTCCGACTTCACGCCTCTAATAAAAATAGATAGCTGCGCTGTATCCGTGTTGTCTGTGCTTTCATCAACAGCTAATGAAAAAGCTATGTAGCTGCGTGTCTCTTCGGCCAGCTGTGTTGCCAGGTTTCCTGCTAGTTCCTTAACTCGGTCCGCGATAGTGTTTATTGATAAACTGACATTTTTAAAAGTCTGTATCTGGTCGGGACACACCTGCTCACAGACCTTCAGCATGCACTGCTTAAAAAACGCTCCCTCTGAAAAAGACTTTGAAGCGCGGGCGATTTCTTCAGCCACAACAAAGCTAGCTTTCACTGCCGCATTGTTTTTGGTTGTGGCTTTCGCGAACACATTCTGCTGCGATCGCAGTTTTCCTTTTAATTCTTGGGCAATTTGTTGTTTTTCTTGATGGCTAATTTTGGCATACTTAGCTCCGTGTTTGGTCTCAAAATGCCGACGTAGATTGTACTCTTTGACAACCGCCACCGCCTCATAACACAAAAGACATACCGGTTTTTCTCCTTGAAGCACAAACATGTATTCGCCTTCCCATCTTTCTTGAAACACCCTTCCATCTGCATACATTTTTCTCTTCCTGGACATTTTGGGATCATTATTCGTATTTCTCAATTCCACTTGTTGGGAAAATCGCATCGATGTGGAAACACTGCAGTCTAGTGGCGGGATGCCGTCACTTCGCGGGTAACATAATCGGCATGAATTGTGGGAAATGTAGTTTTTGGTCACTGCACGCATTTGACTTATTTATTTTTAGACAATCAGACATTTTAAGCTCTCGCGGGCCACATAAAATGACGTGGCGGGCCACATTTGGCCCGCGGGCCTTGAGTTTGACACATATGCTCTAAAGGAATAACTAAATACAGCTGTTGCACACTTATGTAACTCAACGGACTATACCGTCTCTTCTGTCTTACAGCTCCGCTCAAGGGGAAGAAAGTTGGCTTCAGTGACTTTGTGTTTCAAGTCAGCAATTCTGCCAACAGTAAGTTAGCAAAAATTCAGTTTTACTTTTTGCCAAATCTGGTTTTGAACCCTCATGTAACTACTTTTTCTTGTCCGCCTGATTTAAGCTTGGACACCCAGAAAATCCTGCAGCGACAGAGCAGGCAGACAAGAGAGAAGGGGAGAGGAGAGAAGAGAGTCACAGGGGTGAGTAGTAGCCTACAGGGGTTTTATTTCCAAGACTGTTGAGCGTTGACAGGAAGAGAAACAAATACTGACCTCTTGACTTTTCTGACCTTATGTATCTTTTCTCTCCTCAGAGCTCAGCGAACACAGAAACCTCACAGTAAGTCAGTTTTCCACCTGATGCCAAGAAATAAGACAGGAAAAAGGGTTCTGCTGTTTTTGCTTCATATTAAAGATCAACTCTTTCTGACATTAGCAGCTTGTTGAGTAACATTTGAAAAAGAGACAGTTCTGCTTAAGATTACACTAGACTGTTAATGCTTAATTGGTGAGAAATACATTTTCACAATTGAAAAATGTGATAAGATAGGCCCATAGAATCCAAACATATGGCTAACAACACTTTTTTGATAGTTTTCTTTTGTTGTTTAAATCAGGATGAAACCGTCAGATTTTGACTATCTGAAAGTTATCGGCAAAGGCAGCTTTGGAAAGGTAAGGGTTTTGAAATCTTTTAAATGTGAGTTTTCTTGTTGGGAAATATAATGACACAGCTTAATGGAACAACTTCTACAGGTGCTGCTGGCAAGGCATCAAGATGGAGGTTACTATGCTGTCAAAGTGCTGCAGAAACAGATGATTGTCAAGAGGAACGAGGTAATCCATCCGTCCGTCTGTCCGTCCATCTGTCTGTCTGTCCATCCATGTACTTACTGTTTCTGCTGTGTGTCTGTAGCAGAGGCATGTGATGGTTGAGAGAAGCGTGCTGCTGAAGGGACTACAACATCCATTCCTGGTGGGGCTACACTTTTCTTTCCAGACACTGAACACACTCTACTTCGTCCTGGACTATGTTAATGGAGGGGAGGTAGCCTATGTATATACATCTCAGACCCCCTTAAGCCAAAACCAACTATCTGAAACCCATATATAAAGTAACATTTACAAATCTTTACTCAAACTACATACAGTATTTCCTATGCAAATGCAGTTTAAAATGTTGTCCTACAATTCTAACACTCATCTGTTTGTTTTCAGCTTTTCTACCACCTTCAGAGGGAGGGTTCATTTCCTGAACCGAGGGCTGCTTTCTACGCTGCAGAGATGGCCATGGCACTGGACTACCTCCACTCTCTCGACATTGTTTACAGGTACAGTACATATAAACACACACAAATAGATAAGCCCTCGAAAAGGCTCTATTTTACCTGGCTCGCCACTTTTGCTCATGTTTGATTTAGACATGTTCCAAATGTTTAATTATTGAATGCAGGAAAATCCCAATTAAACGTTCACTTTGATAAGAGAGCTCTCACTAACAATGTTATCACTAAACACAACCATGTCCTCCAAAATAATATTTAAAAATGTAGATGTAAAGAAATATCAGTTTGTGACGAAGGTAACTTCGTCACTATGGACTGACGGCTTCAGGCCGGGTAATATTGCACTTTATTAGCGTGATTGCACAGTACAGTTGACATTACATATTTGCACATAATTTGTACTAATTATTGAGTAGTATGTGTGTATTTAGGTGCTGTTTCCTTGTAACTGGCTGTGTGTGAGATCCTTGTGGCTGCAGGATGTGTGCAACGAGAACAGCAGGATTGAGGCTGTGAACTTTGTGCACATGATTTTAATAAATGCCCACGTCGGGTTATATTTTTGGACGTTCTGCCTCTGCCTCCTTGCTTGGTCTGGGCCGCTCAACGGTCAGTCTCACACAGTTGAAACCAGAAAGGATCATAGAGAGCAAAAACCTCTGCCTAGACAATTTCTAAAAAGGAGAAAGTATACATGTATCTGCTCCTCTGTTCGGATACACACCAACATTTTATGTTTTCTTTTTCCATGGACCATGGACTACACCTTTTACCAAGTTTCATAAATATCTAGGCAGTAGTTTTTTTTCTGATGTTTTTAATGCTTCTCCGATCTGTAAATTAGAGGTGAACTGTGCTTTTAGTGCTGATGAGCTTATCTCCATGTTTGACTCGACATGTACCCTAATACTGGATTCTGTTGCTCCTTTTACGCTTAGACGCACCAAAGTTCTCTCAGAACCGTGGCTCAATGACTGTACTCGTGCTCTCAGACGCGCCTGCAGGTGTGCAGAGAGAAAATGGAAAAAGGATAAACTCCATGTCTCCCTAGAAATCCTTCGTGCTTGCCTTTCCGACTACCAGACGGGAGTCAAAGCAGCCAAAACAGAGCACATTTCTCTGTTAATCTCCAAAAACAGCCATAAACCTCAGGTTCTTTTTAATGTCCTCAACTCGATCATTAATCCCTGTGATGTTTCTCAAATTGTGACATCGACTACTCTCTGTGATACATTTCTTAAATCTTTTATCAAAAAAGTGTTACGCTCACCGGTAGTTACAGGAGTGAACTCACAATGCTGAACACAGGACGATGAAACAGAGCTTTTGAGGTAGAAAAAGGTTTATTAACCAAAAACCTATATAGAGTCAGACGAGGGAGTTAATATCCAATAAACCCAAAGCCAGGGTTTGTCAACTGAGGTAGTGCGGATATGCACGGAGATACTCTGGCGAGGAGAGCCGGGGAACCAGAGCTGGTGAGAGTTGACAGGAAGGAGCTGGTGTGCGTGGAAGCACGAAGGTACACTGGCGAGGGAAGCCGGGGATCCAGAGCTGGCGATAGTTGACAGGTTGGAGCTGGTGTGCGTGGAAGCACGGAGATACTCAGACGAGAGGAACGTGGCTGGATGTGGCAGGCAGAGGAGTAGGCAGATGGATTCTGACGGAGAACACAAGGGTTAGATTTGGCAGGAACACAGAGAGTTAGTTTTACCATAAACTACATGTACCAAGTCGAATTACCAGCGAGGTGAAACGACGAACTGGTGAATACTGGATGAGAGGACCGGGCATATAAGCAGGTGAAGGTGAGTAGTGTAATCAGGATGATGAGCAGCAGCTGCGGAGGTGAGTTGGAGGGAATCAGAAGTGGGTCAGCCACACCCAGCCCGGGAGACAGACACACAGACAGACAGAACGAACATAACAAACATAAAACAAAGAAGAGAAGAAGGAGGGAGATACTGCAAATCCTCACAAAAAGTATCTGCTCTTAGGCTAGCCCACACTAGTGCTACCTAGGGATGGGTATCGTTTGAAATGTATCGATTCCGATTTCGATTCCGGTTCTGCTTATCGATTCCGGTTCTTATCGATTCCCCGTTTCGATTCCAAAATTGTAAAATAAAGAGGTCAAACGTTTAGATAACAAAAATATATTTATTCTTAAAAGCTTTAACTGAAATTGTTACTAAAAAATATACATGCAATACAAATGTATTGCACAATAGCTGTGCTTTATTTTAACTGAGCTATGCCTGTGGCAAGCTATTAACAGGCATTACACTTTGCCTTTTCTTTTTCTTTTTTAGTGTAGTGGAGCCTCACTTCAGAGTGTTTACCGCGACCTATCTTTGGTGTTATGAAGTGACTGAGCTCGTGAAATGTCTACGGGAGGGCGGGGGGAGCATCGCTGCGGGGCAACTGTGGACCTCTGTCGCCTGTCAGCGCAATTTATATGATGCCGTTTAAAAAAATGAAGGGCGGTGCCGGCCGTCAGCGTACCGAGCCGGCCGTCAACGGCCCGCTGACGACCGGCCGTTCTGTGATTCTCCAGGTCCGCCCTGTATTCCACCGGGTCACCGCAGCACCGCGGTGCAGACGGACCCGCTGGAATACAGGGTCTACCGCGTTTAGGAACCGTTAAGCAGAACCGAAATTGTGTATTTTGTATGGGTACCCGGTACCCGGCATTTTCTTATCGGTTCTCATCTGGAACCGAGTTTCGGTTCCCAACCCTAGTGCTACCCCAGATCCTGCTCCTTTTCTGTGCCCTGCTGTCCTCGACCACTTTGAGCCTGTATCCCTCTCTTCTCTCTCGGATGTTGTCAAGCACCTGCGGCCGACAAACTGCACCTCAGACAATATTCCCTCTCGCCTTCTCAGAGATGTTTTCGAATCAGTTGGAGCAAATATGTTATTACTAATAAACACCTCTCTTAGCTCAGGATGTGTCCCAGCTGCCTTCATACATGCCGTGGTCCAGCCACTACTTAAAAAGAAAAATCTCGACCCCTCCATTCTCGCAAATTGTAGGCCCATCTCCCAGCTACCTTTTTTATCTAAAGTCTTGGAGCGAGTAGTCTACGCCCAGCTGCAGTCTTTCTTAACCACGTATGGCATTCATGTCTGGCTTCAAACCTATGCACAGTACTAAAACAGCCCTTTTAAGAGTTTTTAATGATCTGCTCCTAGCCACTGACTCAGGCAGCCCAGCTGCCTGGTGCTGTTAGACCTGACAGCTGCCTTTGACACTGTGGACCATAGCATCCTGTTGTCGCGGTCCGCAGGCATCACAGGCTCTGCCCTTGCATGGTTCAGGTCCTACCTGACAGACCGTAGCTTCTCAGTGCAGTTAGGTACCTTCTCCTCTGCTAAAGCCCCTCTTACCTGTGGGGTTCCCCAAGGCTCGATTCTGGGCCCCATCCTTTTTCTACTGTACATATTGCCCCTAGGTTCAATTCTCACAAAACACAACATCCCCTTCCATTGTTATGCCGATGATGTACAGATCTATCTGCCTCTCAATTCAAATGTCAACTCATTACAGCAGTTGAAGGACTGCTTAACAGAGATAAAATCCTGGCTGAGCCTAAATGTCCTCAACCTCAACGAGAGCAAGACCGAGGTCATCTTTTTGGACCCCAACCTCCAGCCTCCCCGGTTGAAATTCTGGGCTCCCTCAATAAAAACATCCTCCCCTCTGTCATGAACCTTGGAGTGACCTTTAATAGCACTTTTAAATTTGATAAGCAGGTCAGCAACGTAGTCAACACCTGCTTTTTTTTAAAATATGACTATTGGCCAAGACCAAGTTGTTTTTATCTTTTAAAGACCTAGAAAGGGTTATTAACGGCTGTGTTACCTCGAGACTGGATTACTGCAACGCTCTATGTGGGTATGGACCAGGCGTCAATTAGACGCCTGCAGCTAGTGCAGAACGCAGCTGCACGTCTTCTCACTGACCATAAAAAGCGTGACCTGTTAAGAACTTGGATACTCAAAGGTAAGGACTCAAATGCACGACCCGGGAGCCAGAGGTAAAGTATAATTAATATACTTTATTTCTTCCACAAAATATATACAAAAGAAAAACACTCTTACGAGGTGACAAAAAAGGGTCCAAAAAGATACAACAAAATATCGCTCACAACGTGAGGAATTAAACTTTCAATAAGTTTCAGAAGCATAACGTAGGTTTGACAAAAGAAGCAATCGACGACGAGCAGAGTACTGGCATGAGGACAAGACAAGACGAACTGACACTGAACACTGGGAGACTGGGGAATTTAAACACTCAACAACAAGACACAGGTGAAAACAATCAGGGGCGGGGCTGACACTGATGAGGGTGGGAGAACACATAAGGAAAGGGAGTCAAGGAACCTGAAATGAGACGTGACAAAAACAAAACAGGAAGTGAAAAACAATACAACATAAACATGAAACATGACTGACTAACACTTTTGACGGTGCACAACATGACCACATCACCCCAATTCTGGCCTTACTGCACTGGCTTCTAGGGGTGTAACGGTTCACAAACATTTCGGTTCGGTACGTACCTCGGTTTTTAGGTCACGGTTCGGTTCGGTACGTTTTCGGTACAGCAGAAAAAATTATCACAAAACATAACATATTTTTTTCAAATTATTATTAAACTGTGAATATTCACTCAAATAAATACAAAATATAATAAAAAAAACATTAAGGTGCAGCATTTCGATGAACTGAAATAATCTGTATTTGAACTTTACTGTACTAGTACTCACAAAACATAAACTATTAGTTTTGGGTTTTTAATTATTATTAAACTATGAATATTCACTCAAATAAATACAAAATATAATAAAATAAACATTAAGGTGCAGCTTTTTAATTAACTGAAATAATCTGTATTTGAACTGTACTGTACTAGTACCTAAGCAGCCAGTTTGACATTATGACTTGCTTGTCATTGTATTTTCATGTTGTTTTAAAGAAAGATGAACTTGTCCACATTGCTTGCCGAAAGGGCAGATCTGCTGGCACTAACAATGTCTCCTGCTGTGGAGAACACCCTCTCTAGGGACAGAGGTAGCAGATACAGCCAGGTAGCGCTTTGCTAACATGGCAACATAAGGATATTTGGTGTTTGTAATAGCTTTGGCTCGGTCTGAACTCTCTGCGAGTGGTGGAGGCTTAAATGCTAGCGGGAGTTGGGTTTGCACTTCAGTCTTTTTTCTTTTGGTACCGGTGATATTCACGTTCGGGTGATGCCTTTTAAAGAGTGTGCAAGTTTGATGTATTGCCAGCCGCGTAACCAATTTTAGTTGAACAATGCCGACAAACAGCTTTGGTTCGGTCCACCTGTCTTTGTCCGTCATCCTTGTACGTAACTGCGAAACCAAAATATTCCTAAACCGGAGACTTCAATGATGCTGGAGGATTTTCAGCTCAACTTTATCTGCGTTCGCCATTTAGACAGTTCCTCAAATTACTGACTACATTTGAACGCATCCCTCTGACATAGTATGCCTCTCGTCCAATGAAATGACTTGCTCGCTCTATGACGCGTTGAACACAATGGGAGCAACATTCTCTGAATGCTGCGACGCAGCACCTGAGATTACTTCCAAGAAGTTGTTCACGTTCTCAATTTTTTAAGTTTAACGTTATATTCGTTCGGTACACTTCGGTACACATGTGTACCGAACCGAAGGGCCCGTACCGAATAATTTCGGTACGGGTACGTGTACCGTTACACCCCTACTGGCTTCCAATTCGGTTCCGAATTGATTTTAAACTCCTTTTATTTGTTTTTAAAGCACTAAATGGGCTGGCTCCGGCTTATTTATCAGAACTCATCAATCGCTACACCCCAGCCAGAGCTTTAAGGTCGGCTGACCAGCTGCTGCTGGTAGTACCCAAGAACAGGCTCAAAACCCGAGGGCACCGAGCCTTCGCAGCAGCTGGCCTTAGGCTTTGGAACACTCTGCCCCTCCATGTGAGGTCGGCCCAGACCCTAGGGGTTTTTAAATCTACACTTAAGACTCACTTCTTCTCTCTGGCCTTCTAGTCAGAGCAGAGCACGACTCCTGACATTTCCCTGTATGCGATTTTTTTTTTGTTGTCTTCTGTTTGCTATTGTAGTAAAGTGTTTGTATTGCATGTACAGCACTTTGGCTCGACCAAAAATCGTTTTAAAAATGTGCTATATAAATAAAACTTGATTTCCTTAATCCCCCTGACAAACAAGCCAGCAGACCAAATTCTAGGTGTTTGCCTCTGTCTTCCAGGGACCTCAAACCAGAGAACATCTTGCTTGACAATGAGGGTCATGTGATGCTGACTGACTTTGGGCTTTGTAAAGAAGGTGTGGCAGTAGGTGGGATCATGCATACATTCTGTGGGACTCCTGAGTACCTCGCTCCAGAGGTGCTACAAGGCTTCCCATACAGTCCAGCAGTGGATTGGTGGGGCCTCGGCACTGTGCTGTTTGAGATATGGACTGGTAAATGCAGCTGCAGCATATAAAATAATACTTTCTTCACTTGATTTTCTCCAGCATTTTCACCTGACTCCTTCACCTCCATGTTCTTTTTCTTAGCCTCCGTTTTACAGCCATTGCAAAGCAGAGATGTTTGAGAACATACTTCACGCTCCACTGCAGGTGCGCAGTGGAGGTTATCAGGCCTCACTGTTAAAGGGGTTGCTGGAAAGAGACGTCTCCAAACGCTTAGAGGGAAGCAGTGACCTTGTAAGTGCACACAAAACCTATAAAATAGAGTCGAGCATTGATACACACACACATAATTACAGAGCGTCTAACTTCAATGTGTCTGCAGGCGGAGCTGCAGGAACATCCCTTCTTTGCATCCATCGAGTGGGACGACCTGCTGGCCAGGAAAGTGAGACCTCCCTTCATCCCAAAAGTGGTAGGAATGATTCATAAAGAAATGGAGAGACATATCGTTTTAGAACCAATGCACGGTGTACCTGAGTGTATGTTGATTTCCCTATCCTCTCTAGGCCGGCCCCTGTGATTTAAGCTACATCGACCCTGAGTTCACTCTCCAACCTGTCCCTGCCTCTGTGAATAAGTGCCAGGCGTCTGGGACCAACGAGGCCTTCCCAGGATTCTCCTTCATGAACCCAGTGGAGTACGTGGCAGCAAAGCCGGGTTCATAACAACGTAAAATCTTCTGGGAACGTGTCAAATATTTATTTTTTATGTCATACATTATTAAATCAAATTCTATTTTTAAACACTTACACTGCATGTTTTTATCAGTTTTTAAATAACAGTTTATTTTTGCTTTTTCACAAGTTATTCTAAGCATTCGTTCATCATTTTAAATAGGCTGGTTTCTATTTCACAATTTCTAGCTACCTTAGTTTGTATGGAGATTAAAGAAAAAACACTCTGCAGCAGGTTTATTTCTTTAACATGTATATCTTTAAAATATGCAACAAACATGTAGTGCAACTTTCCTGCCCTTAAATCCACAGCTTACAAAAGTACTGAAAATACTGAACAGGTTGCCTTAAAATCCTGCAAAGTAACCGAGGGATTGTGCAAGCAAAATACATAGAAACATCTTGTTGTGGCATTTACATAAAAACAATAGGATGCCATTCTGTTGGCAACAAAGTGGACCCAGCTCTGTCCTTAAGCGTGATGGTGAGGAAGTCATGTCTTTTCATAGTAACAAAAAACAAAAGCCGCGCACTATGGAGAATCTCACCGTGGTCTCAATGATGAGATGTCTGGTTTGATTATTCCACCTCACTTCACAAGACTGTTTATGAAAAAGTTCATAGCTTTCTGTCTGTCAGTACATGCTGAAGGAGGCGTAGCTCTGGTCACTTTTGCAGGTGAAGTAAGCTATCAGCTGACCGTTGCAGATCATCAGAAACAAGCCGCTTCCTGTAGGACAACAAGAAGCACAGAGCATCAGAAATAATTGAGCTAATAAGGTAATAGGGCCAGTGTGTACAACTTGCACACAACTGCGAGGCTTGATCATTGCATAAGCACTGCTAATGCCCATGACATTTTAAGATCAATTGAGATTGTGTATGAGGCATCCATGTCTGATCACATTCCTTTTGTAATGTCACTAGATTGTGATAGTCTCCCTGAGATGTCTCAGGAGGTTAACAATGCCTGTAACACTAAAGTGGATTGGTCCAAGCTCACAAATGAGGATAGGCTATTGTACTATGGGAGAACTGATGTCCTATTGAGTGATGTATATCTACCCAAAGTAGCAACTTTATGTGTTGATGTGGGTTGTAATGAAAACTCTCACCGTGAAGACCTCTGTGACATGTATGATTGTATTGTGGGAGCTGTATGTGAGGCCAGTAGACCGTGCTATACCTACTCTGGGAAGAGACACAACGTCAAGCCAGGGTGGAATAAACATGTGGCTGATCAACATGCTGAAGCTATAAGAAAACTTTTGGGGCCTGGGTCCGGGCAGGTAGGCCCAGAGAGGGGCCTGTCCTGGATCTCAAAAAGCTTACAAATGCTAGATATAAATATGCAGTTCGTTATGTCAACAAACATATACAAACATTGAGAGTGGATTCTATGGCTGAAAAGCTCCTTCATAATGATGTTACTGGCTTCTGGAAGGAGCTCTGAACAGGGCCTGTACGTCGTTACCATGTACCATAGAGGGAGTATCTGGAGTCGATAACATAGCTGAGTTGTGGAGGCAAGTTAACATTAATCTACTATACTTAATTGTGTTAAAAGTGACCCCTACAAGGTTGGTAATGTTGTGAAAAGTGACATAGTGGGAATCACAGCTAATGAGGTTTATCGAGCAATTGCACAGCTAGCTGATAACAAAGCAAGCGGCTCTGACTGAATCACTGCAGAGCACCTTAAACTGGCAAGCCCGAAGGTTGCAGTTCTTCTTGCCATTTGTTTTACCGGCCTCATGACTTGGTATGTTGCCGGACTCAATGTTGACTGTTACTTTGGTGCCTGTCATTAAGGACAAAGCGGGCAAGGTAGGGGGCTTGGATAATTATAGCCCAATTGCTCTAGCCAGTGTGTTATCCAAAGTCCTGGAAATAATTTTGTTGGATAGATTATGTTCTTATTTATGTACCTCAGATAACCAGTTTGGCTTCAAGGCTAAGCATGGTACTGAGCTATGCATCTATGCTTTGAAGGAAATGGTAGAAACATATAGAAGACAGAATTCAACTGTTCTGTTTTATTGATGCCTCTAAGCAGGCTTTTGACCGAGTTAACCATCATAAACTGTTTTTAAAATGTAAACAAAGGGGTGTGCCCAACAGTATAATTAGGATCCTGGCTTATTGGTATGCCAACCAGAGCATGCGGATAAAATGGGGGACTGCAGTCTCGGCGCCATTTGGTGTTAGTAATGGAGTTCGCCAGGGGGGGCTCCTCTCACCATGCCTTTTTAATATCTATATGAATGATCTAGATGATTTAAGTGGCTGTAAAACAGGATGTGTGATTGGTCATGTGATTGTAAACCATTTTATGTATGCCGATTATTTGGCTATTGTTTCTCCTAGCAGTGCTGGATTTCAACAGTTGCTAAATATATGTTCTGATTATGGTGTCAAATTTGATGTTAAATACAATGCTAAGAAGAGCACTGTAATGATCTGCAGAGCAAAAGGGGATAAGAACCTTGGTTTTCCAATATTCTTTCTGTCAGGGCAGGTGCTGTCTGTTTGCTGTAACACTAAGTATCTGGGACACATCATTACAGATGAAATGGCTCATGATGATGACATGTATAGACAGCGGCGTGTCTTATATACACAAGCTAACATGTTGGCTAGAAAATTCTCTTGGTGTTCAGATAAGGTTAAGGTAAACCTCTTTAGAGCTTATTGTAGCTCCAGGTTGCTTATAATGATTGTTTGCGTATACTGCTTAGAAAACCAAGGTGGTGCAGTGCAAGTGAATTTTTTTGTAATGCACGAGTCAACACGTTCCATGCTCTCTTGAGAAATCTGATGTACAAATTCATCTGTCGATTGAATGTTTCTCATAACTCTGTTATTATGCTGCTTTCAAATCTGTGTCTCAGTGCTGTACGGTACCAGTCACCTCTTTGGAAACATTGGTATAACTGCCTTTTTTAAATGTATATTTGAGTGTTGTATGTATTTTTTTTTTTTTTAAATGGACCAAGAGTCTCTTTAAATAAAGCTGATGATGATGATGTACTATTAAAGGGGATATATTAGTAAAAATTGAATACTATCTTCATAAGTTTTCAGGCTTAGAATGGACAAAATAAATGTGTCTCTAGAAAGGTCTTTTAGCATTTTTAAGTTACATGAAGGCCACTGTAGTTCTCTGACACACGTTTTGTTATGGTAAGGTCTGCCTCAGTGTGAGTAAACAGTCCTGAAAGATACCATGCTCTTTACAAAGGGTTGGCACTTGGTGGCAAGTTACTGCATGCTTATAATAAGGGTGGGTCTAAGGACAGAGGTATTGTCATACTGATATTCTGTACAAACTGTGAAGTCCACTGAGACAAATGTAACATTTGTGATATTGGGCTATATAAATAAACATTGATTGATTGATTATAATAAGAGGGGTGAGGAGAGGGGTCAGATCTTTTCATTAGTTAACTACAACGCTAGATGCCTACAAATACTACACACTGTCCCTTTTAAATGCAAAAACTAACAGATAAGAGGCACATTTTACCTAGAGCCAGCCACCACTGCCACACCGATGGAAACTCCAACATCACTGCAACATGGAAACAAAACATGCAGTTTAATAACACGTTTTTTTGTTATGTGTGTGTACCTAGGTAGATGTGTTTGTTACATTGCCACTCACCTAGGCTGGTGATAATAACATGCAGAAGTGTGACTGTGAGGGCATAGTCCCATACCCGCCTCTTCACCACTGCAGCAAACAAAAGGCCACTGCAAAAGTAAGTGAGCTCCAGTGATAGGAGGTTTACTGAAAAATACCAAACCAGGAAGAATACATGAAGTTAAAAAAGTTAATGCAAATTGTTGATCATATTGGCTGCACTCACCCAAGTATTTGGAGTTGGATTCAGCGGGTTCGGTCTTAAAGTCAAATGGAATCAATCCATCAAAATTATCCAACCTACATGAGAAGAGAGAAATATGCAATAAGAAGGAAAAGTACTGTAAGCAATTACAGGAAAGTTTGTTAATCCTCTGTAAAATGTGAACACATCTCAGCTCTTATGTTGTCTACCTTGCGACAGGTAGGGGTGTCTCCAGATAAACATATGGTGCAGATAAACAGAATCACCTCTCTGGAGTCACGAGAGCAAAGGTGGATCTACGGCAAAATAAGCTGCAATGGGGCCCTTGTCAAGAAAATATGTCTGGCCCTGTACCCCTGTACCCCTGCTGTCTGTGGTATATGTATGCATCCCATAACCTCCAAATACAAACTGCAGACTACACAGGGCATCATATTTCACCTACAGAACAAGACTGCCTGCCCTGGTTTCCAATGTGTTTTCATTTTCAAAAACACTATTTAATTTACATGCAGCAGAGAACATTAAACAAAAGAAGAATGTTCTTGAAGTATTTACAGTATGATAATGATGCTTTCAAAGGGTGGTGTGCCTGCGCGCATGCGTGTGACAGATCCTCACCTGAAGGCACCGAAGCACACACTCCCAATCATGTAAAAAAGAGAGTAAAATATGACCAGACATAGCAGGAGATTGAAGAACACAGTCTGTGGGAATGAAACAGAATATATCACAATTCTCCATCTAATTTCTGTAATAGATATCAACACATGTGTTTTCAACCCAGAGCTATGCAGTCCTACAGTGTAGGCTATCTGCAGTAGGAGGCAGACAGCGACTTTATCTGCAAAACCTGACTTTACAGTTATGCTTACAATCCTTATAACGAAAACAAATAGGCATCGGACATAACCGTACTTGTCACGTCCTCTTTATTTTCTATAGGACATTATTTAGCTTGTATTCAGTCGAACCCGACTGTTAACAGAGAAATGTTACACATGACACATTCACTGTCCTCTTACCTTGGACTCGACCGCTTTGCTTTTGAATGCCATTTCATGGTTTTTACGTGATGTAATATTACAAAATAATCCAGGCTGCAGCAGCACGATTACCTCGTTAATCCCCTTGAAAAATTGCCTTCTTCTGCCATCTAGCGATGAACACAGGACACCAAATGCAGCGCCGCCGCTTCTACAACCGAGCATTGAACTCATTTCACCTCATATCTGGGCGGCCTTTGTTGACAGAAATAAAGACTTTTCTCTCAATATAACTGTTTGCTAACAAGGGTAAGCATGGTCTCGCAAACTATGACGATTTTGTGTGTAGACGGAGTGTATTTCATCAAAAAATATGGCTAAATCGGCCCATAAAATCTGTATCTTTATTACACACCGGAGAAACCATAACCGCCCTATGTGGGAGGGATTGAATACTGCAGGAGGAGATGATATGGTTCAACATTACCATAACCGACCCACAAAATACTTTTAATTAATCCTAAAAACCATAGGAAGGAATACACGCCCATAGTAATCGTATTATTTAATTAAATTGTTGGACTGCCACAAAAAAATACCAAAACTATCATCCAGTAGCCTACTGATGCAAATTGTAGGTGATCATACACACAGTCTGATACACTGGCTTTGTCGATATTACATTCCGGACAAATGTAACCCTGTAGTAGTCATTTGGCATAACACACGGGTTTTATTATGCTAAACTCAGTGTGTGTCTTTATCCTTCCGACTTCTTTCAACGTTACTGCAGGGGACAGCTCTCATACGCACCAGCCGACATAACTGGATATGTTTTAAGAGCCAAACTAGTGCAACGTCTTGTGTAGTAACGTTTTTTTAGGTCGTTTTTAGGTTAGAAAATGTCACTTCGGTTGATTTTACCGGCCTGAGTGTTTAATCCTACAGTTAGCAGCGCCGTATTTAAACTGATTATCGCCTGTGCTCGGACTGCATCTACACAAATCAGCTGTTTTACGGTAGGGTTTACTGTAACACCAGTTAACGACAGGGAACCGCTCCTCATCGGTTATGGAACACACTGCGGTCCCCGCGCTCATTGATACACTGTCGTACTTCTTTAGGGAATTACTTCTTTGGCAGTTGTGAGCAAAACGGGGATATAAGCTTCAGTCCATCGGTAGAAATCGTTATATCGGAACTGAACAGAGTTCTTGGGCGTGTTATAAGTGTAAACAGGCCTAGTATTGACCAGCGATAGTAAACTGAACTTTTCCGAGACCCAAAGTTGTCAGGCAGCGCATCTTGCACGCATGCGCATCCTTCTATCCAGCAGCTCTAAATAAGAGTTAAAACAGAAACGAGGTGAGTTCCACATTTTAAACAATACTGCCTTTAATACTAATTTATTGTTATTAGCATTGGCACACTTTGGGAAAAGCGGCATTCGTCTTGCTTATTAGTTTACGTTATTTCCACTCTGATTTAAAACGGCGAGAATAAATCGGTTTTTTTCAAGTTTCTATTGAAGAAATTAATCAAGCAACAATGTTGAAGCTCGTAACACTAGCGTGATGTTATTGTGAGTGTGTGTGATATTGTGCGAAATATTGGTGTTTTGCATTATGCGTTTTCCTATTGTTATTAACCGGGAAACTTATTTATTACAGATTGTCCTTAGCTGGCAGCATCCAGTCACAATGCTAGGGCTAGCTGTCTAGCAAACCTCAGTTCAGTTGAACGGAGTGCAGCTAGCTGACTGTTAGCTTCATGTCAGCGCTAGCTAGCAACCTGGGCTGACATTCCGTGACAAGGGGAAAGTGAAGAAAATAACTCGAGTGACGGAAAACACAAAGTCAGGAAATTACACCGCAAGCATTTGCTTTTGTTCGACGTGTAGCAGCTTTGCATGATTTGTTTAAATGGGTAACTTGAGTAATTTACATAGTTTTAACGTGTTGGTGGCCTCTTCCTATGCTCCGCCATTTTGTATAAGACGAATGCTAATCATGGGCGCTCCTACAGACACTTTATTAATGGCTAGAATAAAACTGAGGTATTAAGTGGAAAGTCAAACTTGACCAAGATACATGAGCTCGGGCTGTTGTTTACTTTTCACATGCTTATGACCCTACATGCAAACAGAAAATATCTCCTTAATTCAGTATTGTACATGCGTCAACAGTAAAACGTTATATCGTAATATTAGTCGGATTAAAACGCTCTTAAGTTTGGCCAGTTAGTGCAGAAAACAGTGTTTTCTTTGAAAATGATAAACAAGTGACCCTCTCAGTTGTTAATAACCAGGCAAACAGCCGGTTTTAGGAGATACTGTTAAAACGAGGAAAAGATGAACTTATGTGATTAACTTCAAGTTAAGACATCTTTCCTCCTGTTTGTCAATAGTCCCGAGGACGGTTCACTATAATGGGGCCGTTTGTGCAAGCATTTCCCTCTTAGTTGACCAGCAAAACAATATTATTATTGACTGTTTGTGTCAAATCGAAGTGCATGGTGTCCTGCAAGCCAGCACACAGTCGCCATCTAGCTGTGATGTTTGGTAATGCTGTTTACAAGTCCATGTACAAACAGCATTCGTAGTTTGGAGCACTTTGTAGGTAAAACCAACCGGGGGCTGATCCCCGTGATGATCACACACATTCAGCAAAATAGACGGAAAATAATGGCATAATTTATGTCATAGTTTTAGACTGAACCTTTCTATTAATCCTCTCACATTTTGAACATCTTAGTGTTTTAGCATCAGTTGAGAGTATATTTAATGTGACTGTTATTATGTTTTTGCAGGTTGGTGATATCAGAGGAGTGGGAATGACCGACACCCCACCCAGTGATGGCCCCTCCCAGGGAGCTGAGTTTGATATGATGGGTGCCCTGGACTGGAAGGATGGTATTGCAACGCTGCCTGGAAGTGACATCAGGGTACGAGAGAGATTCATGATCCTGTCCAGGATAATGTGTTTAATGTTTGTGCTTTTAGTGTCTGATCAGACACAGATTTGTAAGAGCAGAGTTCTGTGTTATAGATGAGGTGGGCCACCTTGCTTGAAATGAAAACCATCTCTGTTTACTCTCTAGAAAAACAATAATGAAAGAAAACATTAACCTTGATAACTGCTATATTACACAGGGAATGTCATATATTTTAGAAGTGTGACTCATATTTTGGCTGTCCTCTAGTAACTTGATTCAGAAAGAGACAAGATAATTTAGGAGTGACCTATCTGTGATGAGCATACCTGTTACACCTTACTTGTGTCTTTCAGTTCCGCATGACAGAGTTTGGGACTCTTGAGATTGTCACAGACCTGGAGGTCAAAGGTCAGAAGCCAGAGCCTAACCGCAAGGCCTTGGACCCAGCACAGTCTCACACGCCCACTCCTCCACCGGAGGGCCAATCACAGACTGTCACAGCTCCAGCTAAAGCCAATCAGAGTCAGCCAGGATCGTCTCAAAGTAAAGGTATGATAGCACATGTTTAACCCCTAAAAGTATGTTTTAGTAAAGATGTGCAGTTTTTTCTTTAAATGCTGGACCTGTCAGCTTTAGCCCTTCTTTGTGCTTTGTCTTCTAGCCCCCGGTCCTGTGCTTCTGTCTCTAGAGGAAGGCCCCACTATGGAGGGCCCCAGTGTGGAGGTTGGTCCCAGTGTGGAGGTTGGCCCTAATGCAGACACAGGCACAAACGGGGAGCTGTCAAGGTGCCGGGCCTGTGGTGGCCGTGTTCCCCGGGACGCCCTCCTTCAGGGCAAATTCTGTAGCTCTATTTGTGCCCAGCCCTCCAGCGGCAGGTAAAATCCCACACCTGATGTCATTTAATGTTTTTTGTTATCTTTCAGATTTGTCTTAACACCAGCCAAATGTTTGGTTTCTACAGATCGTCTCCAGCAGAAGCAAGGGAGAGTCAAGCAGTTGAGGGTGAGAGGCTGGGTAAACGTGTGCGCAAAAAGAGGAAAATCTATATGGATTCTGGTGATGAAGAGGAAGACAACCAAGAAGAACCAGAGGTAAGGAGCATATGTTTAGCGTTTTTGTATTGTTTTTTAACCAGTGTTGCTAACCTTAGAGCTACAAGCCCCTCAAGTGTTCAGTGTTTTGCTGTAACCACTGAGGTCTTGCAATATGTTTCAATTTTAATAATTTATCTCTTCAACTATAACTTGAGAAAACACTGAAGATGGGTGAGAAAATTGTGATTTGAAAAAATGATTTTTGTCATTTTCTTACATTTTTGTAGGAAAAGGCCAAGACGACCAAGGGAAGAAGAGGTGCCAAAATTGCTAAACTGGGTATATACAGCTCAAGATAACATTTCATGTCTTTCCTTTATTTTTACAAGTCCTAAAGATGCTGTAAATCTGTAAGTGTGACGCAATGAGGGTGTATATATAGCAGTTAGTATTTATTTAGTATTGGTTAGGTTCTATCAATATTATGGGCATGTTTTCACATGACTCTAAATATGTGTATGTTTCTCATGATTGTGATTGAGGTCCTCATGCACAGTCTACTGTACATAAAACTTCAGTGTTTTTGCCCCACCGTCAGTGACTGCCCCAGCCAATAAGAAGCGGGCATGGAGCTGGCCGGCTTACTTGGAAGAGGAGAGAGCCATCGCTGCTCCTGTTAAACTATTCAAAGAGGTATTTTCGCCCATAAACACTGGCCAATTTTTATATATTTTTACAAACCAGATGGTTTTGTTTATTTTGTCCATGACAAGCCAAATCATGACTGATCTGTGATTGAACATGATTGAACATTTGTCTTGCAGCACCAGACGTTTCCTCAGAGCAGGAACAGTTTTAAGGTGGGGATGAAGCTGGAGGGGCTGGACCCGTCCCACCCCTCTCTGTTCTGTGTACTATCTGTTGCAGAGGTACGTGTGCTAATAGAACACATCTATCTTTATCCCTGTTTATAATAAATAATCTGACAGTCCATTTGCCTTTCAGATCCAAGGCTACAGAGTAAGGCTCCACTTTGATGGTTACCCAGAATGCTACGACTTCTGGGCCAATGCTGACTCGTGGGATATGAAACCAGCTGGCTGGTGTGAGAAGAATGGGCATAAGTTATTGTTGCCGAAAGGTATTCACAAACACACACAGACCGACACACCTATCCATGATTTTATTTTTAGTGTTTATTTAGTCTAAGGAAACCAACAAATGTCCTTCCCAGATGTTGTCAATCACTTATTGTGATTATATTAACATGCAGTACTGTTGACCAAAAAAGTCACAGCAAAAATAAAACATTTACCAAAATCTCTTTTTTAAAGAAGGCGAACAACGTAAGCCACTTTTTTTTAAGCAGCCTTTTTGTTTCCTGTGTTGCAGCAGCCAAATCAGGATTTTAACATGAAGCACACAATGATTAATGAGTTTTGGTGACAACATCAGGGCTTGAGTGAAAGACATGGGGTGGTATTTTGGCTAGAGTAGTTTGAAACGCTCAATAACAATTCAACACTTTAACTGAATGGGCTTTATTTGACATAATACTAAAATGCCCAGATTGTAAGTCAATTTAGCCTTAATCAAAGAAACAACAGGCTGAAGTTAACTTAATAGGATAAACTGTCAAGGAATTTTACACAGGACAAAGATTAGATTAAAAAAATTGCTGAGAAAAATGTACAGTATTTTACAACATAACTGAGTGATATTCGTCCTGTAGGCTGTAAGGACGGAGACTTTAATTGGAGCATGTATGTGAAGAACTGCAGGGGTCAGCTGGCCCCAAAACACCTTTTCAAAAGCCTCAACACAGTGAGTTAAAAGCACTGTAAATCCTAAAGTCATCAAATGTTTCTTAAAATCAGCTTTTATAAGAGTGCTTTATTTTTATTTCAGTCTGTGACTCCATCTGGATTCAGAGCAGGGATGAAGCTGGAGGCGATCGACAGGAAGAACCCCTCGTTGATCTGTGTAGCAACCATTGCTGCTGTTGTGGACAACCGACTGCTCATTCATTTTGATAACTGGGACGACACATATGATTATTGGTAAGAGCCTGGTTTAAGACCGGAGGAATGGCTATCATCCAGAGGTATCCCCCAGTCCTTTTGCAGGACTGCTGTATATTTCAATTCAAGTAAAATCTACTGTAGTTTATTGTCTGTACGAGTATTGTGCCTGGGTTTTTAAGGTGTGGAAAAGTGTTAACATATAGGAAATTAAGTCTTGACAAGTTTAAATTGGACAAAAGGTCCTGGAAAATTGTGCAAACATTAACATCTACAACGTTTTACAGCTAGAACACATTTAGAAAAGTCTAACATTGGGCCTTTACTGTGTTCCTGGTTACCTAGTGGTTGTTTTTTGTGAAGGTGTGACGCTAGCAGTCCATATATCCATCCTGTGGGTTACTGTGAAGAGGCTGAGCTAACTCTGACTACCCCAGCTGGTAAGACACAGACCAAGACACACGTGGGTCAGTATAAATTCCTTTAATATACTATAGGGAATGCAGAATCTAACACTGTCAGTAATAAATACTAATACCAATTTTACATTATGCTGAAATTATTGTTTGCATGTCAAATCAATGCTTGTCAAATATTGTTGCTACTGTTTGAAATAACAAGTAGAAATAATGTAAATGTATTGAAGCTAATAATAATTAAGTCAGTTCCTGTGGATGTCTAGATTGTTGTTTTTGATCCAAAGGTCACAAGACAGACTCTAATGCCTTTTAACTCTCTCACTGCAGAATATAAACAACCTAAAAGTTTCTCATGGGAGAAATACCTGGAAGAGACGGGCACACAGGCTGCTCCTGCTCGGGCTTTCAAACCGGTACAGTTCTCACACGCAAATATAAGAATACACACAAATAATCATAATATGGACGATAGTGGTCTTAATATGGTCATGTGATTGTGGTTCTGCTTGTGTTTGCAGCGACCTCCACATGGCTTCCAGATTGGGATGAAAGTGGAAGCTGTGGATAGGAGGAACCCCATGCTCATCCGTGTTACTACCGTAGTGGACACAGAGGACCACCGACTAAAGGTACAAACTTTCCACTCAACGACATTATTTTAAGATGAAACAGAAGCAAAATAAATCCGTCAAGAATGTTGTCTTGAACTTATAGTAAATAAACATCATACTTTGAGGAAGAAGATGGCATAAACGTCTGCCAACTCTTGCGACATTGAACCACAGAAAGTAAAACAGACCTTGACATTCCAGGAGATAGCACAAAGACACAGTTGTTTCACAATAAATCCCTTTTGTTTTTCAAACCCAGTCTAGTATTGTGGAGTTAAAGGGGACCTATCATGCGAAATGCACTTTGTGATGTCTTTTATACATAAATATGTGTCCCCGGTGCGTCGGGGAACTCACGCAGCGTCAGAAAATAAAACCCTCTCTCTTTTCCTCCGTACCCAAATCTTTTAAAAACGAGTGTACAACGAGCGGATACAGATTTCCATCCGCTGTGACGTGTCCATCCGCTGTGACGTCGGCGGACCCACAGAAAGTTGCTATCAGAAACAATGCCTGACGTGTTTTGGACGTAATCTCGTCTTTGTTTACATTAGCAAGCCTCGCTAACACTCAGAGCTAACCTGTACTGAATAGCACATGTGTTTTAAAAAGCAGGAAATAAAAAAAGAACTCACCTTGTGACCTGCAAGAGAAAAGGCATTTGAGCTCCATACTAAACAGGATGGCGTTTTATCACAACCAAATTTAACTTTATCTCCGGTAGAATTCTGATCAGGAATTAGCTCCGCCTCCTCTTCTTTCTTTTTGTTTTCAAGCTAAGGACCCAAGATCCGTGTTACTCTAACAGGGCTGCAAAAGAGGGGTTTGAGCAGTATGAGGGATGGCTACAATGGGTGAACTGTTTGGTATTCACATGTTTTATATATAGTATGGCCCTACAATATATGTTTCAAATATAGCATGATAGGTTCACTTTAAGTAACAAGAACAGGAATTAAATATTGCCGTAGATCAAATGCCATTTATCTATTTAGCCCAGGTCCAATGTCCAACAGGAATTTAGATGAAAAGCCAATGATAGGTTTTTAAATGGTAGTCAAAAAGTGTTTGAGTTAAGTAAAATAAATAAATAAAAAGTAATACAAAATAAAAAACATGTATAACTTGTTAACTTCTGTGTAATTTTGCTTAATGCACTGTCCTCTCATCTAGATTCATTTTGATGGCTGGAGTTCAGAGTATGACTATTGGGTGGAGACGGACTGCCCTGATCTGCACCCTTTAGGATGGTGCCAGAAAACAGGACACCCACTGCAATACCCGAACGGTGAGACTCCCTCACTCACGCACGCTCGCTCACTCACTCACTCACTCACTCACTCACTCACTCACTCACTCACTCACTCACTCACTCACTCACTCACTCACTCACAGTTTTCCTTTGCCTTCATTTAATATCTGTATGAAGTCTTTAAGGAAAATGGTCTTCCTTCAGTTCTTTGCATAGATTTATGAACATCCCCCGTGTCTGTGTGTATATATTTCAGGCTCCACTGAGTTAGTGACCGCCCCGGGACAAGGATGTCCTACCCCAGGATGCAACGGGGTTGGCCACATTAGAGGACCTCGCTATGGGACACACTACACGTTAGTAGCACATACTCTGTATTGTGATTTATTTTATTTAGTTGCTGTTGTCTTTGTTTCTCATTGTTTTCAATCTTCATGTCCTATCAGATCACTTTATTATATTCTTCTTTATCCCTTTCAGTTTATTTGCACCTACCCTTTGTTGTAATGTCCTTTTATCCTACCTTTTATATATGCTTTGCAAAGTGCTATTTTTTAATTTACGATGTATTTATCTTATTATAATCACTGTTGCTCAAGCAGCACATTAATAGTTAAGATTAGTTGTTATCAATGTCAGGAGACTGTGTATGTCATATTTCAGATATAATGTATACTTGTGTGGGCTGCCTTTAGTTTAAATGTGTTGCTTGTTTGTGTGCGTGTGGGAGTTTTGAGTCTTTAAAGTGATATCGATATATATATTTTTTCAGCCTATCTGAGACTAACAGTTTAATTGCAGAGCCAGTAAAGGGTGGGGGTTGTTTTGGACCTGGTTATAGTTTGTGTGTCTCTTGTGTGTGCAGTGAGGTGAGCTGTCCCTACTCGGATGTTAATCTGAACAAAGAGGGCCTGCTGCCAGATCGCCTCAGCGGAGAACGACCCGTCGCCCTCAGTGGACCTCACCCACGTGGGCGACGTCCGGACTTTCCCACAAACACTACGACGCAGAGCTCCACAATGTCAGAACAGCCCGAGGGAGCTGAAGACCCCCAGAACAGGTTAGCGGCTGTCACTCTAAAAACACAGCATGTACATAAAAGGGACCGATAACCCCCAAAGAAAAAAGAAAATAGTTCCTAGATTAAACTGCTCACAAAAAACGGATGGAGATTATGGATCATAGAGAGTTGACAGGTCAAGTTATCTGTAAAGAGACTTTTTTTAAATATATTTTATTTGCTGCTTTGAGCACCACAAGCCGAGTGCCATCTAGCTTTGTTTATTTGATTAAGGCAGGCATCTCTACTTTTAAAAACAAATGACCAGGACTGATAAATAGCCCTCCAGGGAGGAGCATACATATGTTTTTTTGATTTTTGGATAAACTGTTCCTTTTTTCAAAAACACTTCCAAGATAACTTATTTTAGTGTTTCAAATGCAACTCTATCCAGTGGTCTGTATCTGACATCGGGTTATCTGTGTTGCTAGGAAACCGGTGACAGTGGAAGCTGAGCGTTTGGGACGCACCGCTCAGCCGGAGCCAGCAGGTGGCACCAGCGAGCCGAGCCACAATGGAACCAGGCCCAAACGGTACCCTCACATCCAGCTCTACTGCTGTAGTGTAATGTCAAAGATGTTCTCCTGTGTCAGAGAGTGACAGTTTTGATGTCTTTTCAGAACTGCTCCCGTTCCCAAATACTTGAAAATGCACTACGTTAAAGAGGAGATCGGCCACGGCAAAGGTACGTGTGAATGCGAAAATGAGACGTGATAAATCATGTAAATCAGCACCTCACTCCCACTGACTGCTGCCCCCTCCCCCCCCCTTCTCTCTTTCCGCAGCCTCTCCAGATGCCATCTCTCTCCAGCAGGCCCTCCACGAGTCAGTGTTCTCCCCCGGCCTCTCCGCCTCCCCCCCTCACCGGGTGGCTCTCTGCTGGGACAAACACTGCCAGCTGCTGCCTGAGGTCCTCGGGCTGACTGCCAAGCGAGTGGCCACTTGGAGCGCTGAGGAGGTCGGACATGCTTACACACTCGCACTGCGCCAACACATGAGAAGCAGACATGCTCCTCATTCACTCCCCTACATGAAGGCAGCTAGTTGTTCAGAGAAGCTGTGCATGAATATTCAAACAGAGCCTTTCTGATTCCGAGATGGTGCTCGCTTTCCACCTGTCGGTTCCATAAAGGCATACAAGCCTCTCTGATTTGTAGCAGGGCTGCTCCCAATAGTTTGAAGCTTGGAAGCTGAATTCATTTTTATTTTGTGCATGTCTATTCATTGTGTTCTGACATTCAGAGCCAGTATCTCTGCACAGTTGCAGATTAAAAAGACACACAAAATGACACAATTATTTGTAATATAATGTTTGTAGGATTAAATTCCAGCTGATGGTGCGTGGGATTGTTTCAGACTCATGTGATACAAACATTTCCATTAAATAACTCACCGCAAGAAAAATAAAACAGTTTGCTGACCTGCTTGCCCCCAAAAAAAGCCCCTACCTACCTGTCTGAACAAGGATACACAATACATTTACACTTACAATACAACACAATAATAATCTGTATTTTCATAAAATATTACGAAAGACATTCTCAGCTTGGTTCGAACCCATGAACAAAGGCTTTGAATGTTATGAAATGAATCATAAAAAAATTATATTTACTAAATTTCTAGGTTAAGATTTAAAAATGGTTTGTGTTTGACAGCATTTCTGGAGCACTTTGCTGAAAGTTATTTCCTTTTTTCATCAGGTCGCCACATTTGTCAAAGGTTTACCAGGATGTAAAGAACATGCTGCTATATTTAAAACAGAGGTAAGCACTTCAGATTCAACTGATTACATTATTTCATTATCAATAAAGAGTCTTTTTCTATTCTTATTGTTACTTTTTTTTAATTAAAAAGCCCTACATGTCCTTAAATTGTTAAGTGCTCTTTTGGATTGTTGCTATAGTTTCCAGCTTTTAGTTGAGTAGCTGGATGCTAAAACTTCAAACCCAGACACACAGGTGGCAGCAATAAGCTCTTAATGAATTCAATGTTTATCCGTGGCGCCACCTGTGTGTATCCCCATGTCTGACATAAAGCAGATGGAAAAAGGGTCTGACATTTTTACACCATATTGAATCATATGTTTTCATACCAGTCAGTGTGCAAAGTTGTTAGTCTGTTTGCCTTGCAGCTCTTCGTAATTGTATAACGTTCCCTCCACCTTCATTACATTTGCTTAATAAGTCATCCCTGAATCTTCAACTCATGTCTTCTGATTGTAATGCTACCCAAAACTTTGTTAGTCAAACTGTAAGCAATCCTTTATTCTCAGAATGAATTGACTTAAAGGTCCCATGTCATGGCCATTTCTACTGATCATAATTCCATTGTTGAGGTCTAGATTTACATTGTGCAATTTTCTAAAATCACATTGGTTTCTCATACAGCATCTCTGTATACTATGTGTATTCACTCTCTGTCCTACACGGCTTGTTGGAGCTCCTGCCCCCCCTCTCCCTGTGAGCCCAGTGTGCTCTGATTGGTCAGTTCACCCACTCTGTTTTGATGAGTCTACCACCGTTACAGCGGAACATCAGTGATTATGTGTTACAATGGCGTTAGCAACCAGAAAATGACACCAGTAATGACAAACAGATGAGAATGCTGCGTGGGGTCTGGGTGCCGTGTTGGCGGCTCGCTGCTGCGAGGAGTGGACAGTGTGAGCTGGCTTACTGGTGTGGTTTCCTGGTTGCTGCGTGGGCTCGGCGAAACCAGCCCGAGCACACACACACACACACACCCTTGCCGCGTCCCGCCGTCTCAGGCTGAGAAATCCCCGGAGCTCCCGTTGAGAAAAGATTGAGTGTGTGTGAGGAAGTCCGCGGATTGGTCTAACGCAGTGGTTCTCAAACTTTTTCTGTCAGGCCCCCCCTTTGGAGAAAAAAAAAATTCAGGCCCCCCCCCCCCCAACACTAATAGTCAGGCTCAGTGGTGGCACCAGATATTTATTTTGGGGGTGCTGTGGGGTAGCTTGACGTTTCATAGAGGGTGCTCAAACATATAAGGTTTCCCATTAATGTACCAGGCGCTACAGAGGAATTTTCTACTGCAACATTCCCCACGCATATACACAATGTACCCGCGACTGTTACAATGAAGGCTCGATAATCAGCTCACGGCATATAGGTGTAAGCAGGGGTAAAGTGCTAATTTTATAGGTGGTGTGTGGACCTCACATAGGGGGGTCCGGGGGCAAGCTCCCCCAGGAAGATTTATTTTTAAATATTGACGTTAAAAGCATCCATCTGGTGCACTTTGAGAGCAAAATGAAGAGATCTATGGATACCTCTCTCAACACCTATGAAACAGAACTGTAAACAGATTTACTTTTTCTTTATGGATATTTTACAAATCACCCTTTTAAACTTTATTCTTGTTTTACTGTCATATAGTATTTCATACCTGTTTTTCATTTATTCTCTTATTTTTGTATAACTATAATGATCATATAAACGTGTGCCTCGGAAAATAATTGTTTACATTAATAGTGACCAAAACGTTTGAGACCCACTGAGAGAGCCCTTTAGCTCACCGAGTCTCTCAGTCTGACAGGAGAGGACTCTCCTCCACTTTGTTGTTGAAAAAACTCCTTATATCCATTAGCGTAGCTCGCTAGCACCAGAAGCTAACAACAACGATCTCCGGTACCGGTGCGCTCTCTCTCTCTCTCTCTCTCTCTCTCTCTCTCTCTCTCTCTCTCTCTCTCTCTCTCTCTCTCTCTCTCTCTCTCTCTCTCTCTCTCTCGCTCGCTCGCGTACACAAAATGGCTCGTTCCACACACAGACACAGAGCCGAGCTTTAATGAAGCAGAGACCCAGACGTAATAGTACTGCATCATATTATTTTCGAATCAATAATTTTTCAATTTATGATTTCTTTGTTTTATCTTTTTTTTTATAGCCATTTTTCCTCCTGGTCTCTCGCGCCCCCCCCCTCGGCATGCCTCTGCGCCCCCCAGGGGGGGCGCGCCCCCCACTTTGAGAACCACTGGTCTAACATAACGGCTCCGCGGATTGGTCTATTTGGACCAATGGGTCCATTTGGGTCGTCGTTACGTCACTTAGTACCAGGAAGAAAACGAGAAATCTCCAACGAGGCGTTCTGAGGCAGCATAGACAGGTATTTTCTGTGTTAGAGTTTTACTCGCTACAGGGTGTACTTTGAGGGTTTGTGACTTTGCAGACCGTTTACATGCAGAAAAACCTTCATAACACACAAGGGGACGGGGTAACCAGAAAAGCACGTCATGGGACCTTTAATAACACATTCATTGATCATTCAGTCCCTTATGGTGACTTGTAGAGTTTGAGTTGTATACTGATGTTCATTAAAGCCCAATAAGTAATTCCCAGAGCATTTATTACTAAGAAAATTCATTAAAGTCGATGCATTTTCATATGATGATGAAGTCATATCAAAACATGGTTGTCGAGTTTTGTTAATTGCAAAGATTTTTTTGCTTAGGATGTAACTTCTCTTATTGACAGTTAGAGACTAGCTTGTGAATAAATGAGCCAGATATTGATCTCAGGGGTCGGAAGAGACCATAAACAGAGTTGAATATAGCACATTCACCAGGTGGCGAGAAACACTAATAATTACTGTGTTCTTGTGACTTGTTTTTAATGATGGTTAATATTTACTAAACAAGTCTGGTTACTCTGTAAAAACTCAGTAATACGGAGCAACATTTTTCTTTCTCTTTCCTTCTTAGCAAATAGATGGCGAGTCCTTCCTGCTGCTCACCCAGGCGGACATCGTCAAGATTCTGTCCATCAAGTTAGGGCCCGCCCTCAAAATCTACAACTCCATCCTCATGTTGAAGAACGCAGACGAAGAGTAGAAACTCCAGAGACTGAAGAGGAGTTGCTCCCTCCTTTCATCGACACTCAGCTATGAAGACTTTTGATCAAATCAGCTACAACAGCTTTTGTCTGTGGAGCTCTGCGACAGAGCGGAGCAGCATCACCAGAGACAGAGGCGGAGGTCATCATCTCAGAAAAAACGTCCACCTCTCCCCCCTCTCCCCCTCCTCTCTCCATGATGGACAGTACTGATCAACCCGAGGGAGAGGTCACTTTGATACTTTAAGTTTTCTTGATCTCTATCGTGTTTGTTTACTGAATCATTTAAAAAAGAACTACAGGCACCTTCAATGCTTCTTAACATTGTACAGTTTTTGAATTGGATTTAGTGTTTCGTTAATGAATGGTGCTCGGGCTAAGAGCAGATGGAACAAGAGCGTTTGTGCTTTGTTGCATTTTTACTTAGCAACAGATCTTTTTTTAAAGGTGCAAAATACAATCGTGGAGGGCGAGAGGTTTTTAAAATGTGAAACCCAGTGGAGCAGAAGCACTATGTAGTTCAGCTGTTCTCCTCTAGATGGAGAGCGTGGGCAGCTCCACGGGCCCGCAGGCGAGACGCTTTGATTAGATTGGAGCTGAAGCTTGGGTTGAAAGGGGGATGGTAAAGACTTTGTGTGTGCAGATGTGAGAGTGTTTGAGAAATAAGGGTGTAATTTCCCATCAGCCCACGTGTTATGTTCTGGTCAGAGGATTGTTTTGTGGCAGGCATGGCTAAGGGCTAAATGTTCAATCAAGAAACCTTGCAGTCGTTTAAAGTTGAACGAGACCGCTTTATCTCGGTCTCCTTTGTTTGTTAATGGGAACGGCACATGAAAATGAATGTTTAAAAAACAGCTTTTCTGTTGTTTTGTTTATATTATCTTGTTTATTTTCATTCACATTGTAAATAGTATACAGCTACAAATAGACTGTCCTCGCTCCCTAACAGAGTTTACTCCTGCTTGGTTATGCAAAGGCTTGACATCTGTCGACGAGGAGAGGACGCTGTGACAGTGAAAACATACGAGCCTCAATTCATACAAAGATTTTGAGAAAAAAAGAAACAAAACAAACATTGTCAGTGTCTTTGTGAGTTGGAATGTGTACATCAGCAACTGTTTATATGCAAACGGCTTTTATTTATGTATTCTAATTTAAAGGGTAATGGTACGCTGTTTTTGGCTCCGAGGTAAGCTGTGGCTCTTTGACGGAAAGTGTGTGAATGGGTGAAAATAAATGAGATGCACACTGTCTGCTGTCCTCATTCAACCTCTCTCACCACACACATCCTCCTAAACCCGTCTTTATCTGTACATTTTAATTATTTACAGAAGGGGAAAACACATTGGCTTAAGTACTTAATGCATTTTTTAGGTAACGTAGTGTGACAAAACAAACATTACTTAAGGTCTATCTACTAACTTTTGTTCCTGTTTTTTGAGAGCTCAGTAGCTGTTGCACTTTAAGTGATGGCACGTTTAAGAAATCTGTGGCAGGGGCTCAATTTACTCTTCAATTTAATATTTAATCTAGGGCTGCACGATATTGGAAACAACTGACATTGCGATTCCCCCCCCCCCCTCCCCCTGTGATATTGCGATATGAAAACATACAGGAATTGAAGAAAAGACCGTTTTTTCCCCGCAAACCATCCTTTCTTGAACTTTAATGCTATACAATTGGTATTCTTTTAACTATATTTAACCGGATAAAGGATTTTAGTCACAGACGTCTGGATCTTAAGTTATCAGAGCAACAAGCTGAGCTAGCTCGGTTAGCAGAGCCTGCATGTCACTCACTCAAGTAGCCTACCCCTGACATGAGAGCCGTGCAAGTTTTCCTTATGTAGCAAGCAGCACAAATAATTGTAACATGACGTGTTTGAGTTAATTTGCCTAATATCGCAAGTCCTAAAAAAAAGGCACGTCCTGATGTGAATATCGCGCATGCACATATGGTGATTATCGTCACGACACGATATATCGTGCAGCCCTAATTTCATCCACACCCAGTCGTTCCCAACCTGGTTCAGGCATCCTTTCAAAGAAACAGTAGAGGTTTCTCAATACTCTAATTTCCCCTCCTCGATACTTAGTCCCGACTCCCGCCCACGGGAGATGCGAGCGGAGGACTGAGGAGGGGAACCGAGGAGAGAGATGGGGAAATTAGAGTATTGAGAAACCTCTAGAGCAGGGGTGGGGAGCCTCCGGGCCGTATAAGGCCCGCGAGACAATTTGGTACGGCCCTCGAGGTAATTTATAAACACACGCAAAAAATTAAAAAATGTAAGAAATCTAGACCGCAAACAAATTAAACAAGCGAGTGCCTGTTTTTCCTGGCCAAGGTCATATTGTTGCTGAACACAACACGAGCCTAACGTGTCATCACTTGGTATATGTCTCGACTGACAGGGGTGCAGTTCTGACGGCGAGCACCAGAACGCCACTCCAGCACTTCAGAAATTGCAGTACCGATAAGGAGCCGTACACATGCCGCAGTTTCTGCGTGTCTGTGGCTGCTTCTCAGGTCGACTATTTTCATTTCCTCGCTCCTCGGTCCTCGGTCTCACCGGAAGTTGATTTGCCTGCGCCATCTTGAGTACCGTCCCATGGCTCTTATTTCTGCCGGAGGATCGAGGAGCGAGGAGCGATCATGGAGGAGCGATAACCGAGGAACCACCAGACCATCCTCCGATGAAATCCTCAGATACTCACCCCGCCCCCTTACTGTGTATCGCTCACTGATTGGACGAGGCAGTGCATGCACTGATCTGATGCTTCTTGACATGAGAGCAGAGTGAAGAAAATACATGAACCTCACGGGAGTCACTCCTCAGTTTATACCGTGTTTTGTTTCAATTCATGTTTCATTTAGTTACAAATATGAGATATATCTGAACAACAAAGTGGTCAAAAATCATTTAATTCATTTTTTGTAAACATTTTCATGATCGCTTTTTAAGTTTTACATTTTCATTTATTGTCATTTCCATTCCGTCAGTCATTAAGTGCTATTGAAATGTTAATTTACTACATATCCAAACAAACAAACAAAGTGTGCAATCCAATGAATGTTAATCTAACTGGGTTTTGATAGATAACATATCTCTTTTTCTTCTCTCAATTATTTTATTTCTATTGTGCACTCTAATCAATATTAATCAAACTATTGTTCGTTTATACATTTTAAGAATGGCGTTTATCTTTTTTGAGAATTAGTTCTTATTTTATTTATTGGGGTCTACAACAGATGATACAAATGTTTGTGTCAGTAAATGTGTACTAACAGAAGCGGGGGTGTGTGGAAATACGTGCTGCTGTCAGACGATCAGCTGTGCAGCGTCATCACAAACGGACGTCGCTTCACGTGACGCTCCGGAGGAAAGGACGTCCCATTGCTCTTAAAACTCATTTCCCTGCTTCTCGTGGTTTCCTTGCGTCCCTCCATGCTTCCCTGGTGGGAGGGACTAAACACAGGGAAACGACGCAAGTGAGGGACGCAAGGATTTCATTTAATCAACCTGAGAAGCAGCCTGTGTCTTTAGTTGTAAGCCCAGTGGCGATCTGCTCATCTGTCATACTGATCATACAGTCAATAACTTTGTTGTTATTAGCATCTGGTTAGCTAGCTATGCTAACGAATATAAGAAGCTTTTTCTACAACCAGTGAGGTAAAGGCACATCTTTATATGATCATTATAGTTATAAAAAAATAAGAGAATAAAGTAAACAGGTATAAAATACTATATGACAGTAAAAAAAAGTTGTTATTAATAAAGAAGAATACAGTTTGAAAGGGGAGTGATTTGTCAAATATTTATAAAGAAAAATAAATCTGCTTCCAGTTCTGTTTCATCTGGGTGTTGAGAGATGTATCCATAGATCTCCTAATTGTGATCTCAAAGTGCACCAGATTGATGCTTTTAACTTCAACATTTAAAAAAAAATCTTCCCGGGGGAGCATGCCCCCCGGACCCCCCTAGAGGAGGTTAGGTCCCCCCCACTTAAATCATGTCCACATGGATAGGAAACTAAATACATTTACACATCTTGTGTCCATATCTTTCTGTTTTGGTGGTCACGCCACACCGTGCACGTGCATGCATGCGCGAGTCATGGTGAGATATCTGGATTAAGAGGTTGCTTTTTCTTTGCACAGAATGAAGTGAATGGGCTGTGATTTTAGTTTTTTTAAGCAGAGGTCAATAATTTGTACGGCCCTCTCAGGATATTGTAAAAATTGAAATGGCCCTTGAGAGGAAAAAGGTTCCCCACCCCTGCTAGAGTCTCTGGTTCCCTCTCTAAACCTCTCAGGTGGTTTCATTTACATAATTGTTTGAAGAAGAAAAATGACTTGAGGCCTTGCGTTTTTATTCTTTCTTATTACATTAATCATCCGACGATGATGATGTACTGTATGACCCTTAAGACGCAGCTTGAGCCTGGAGTTGATAAAAACAACCACTAACTCCATTAACTGAAAAAGCAAAATGCTCCTTACTCATTAGTACCATCCATGTAATGAGTCCCTGGGCATGTACTGTTTTGTGTTCACATAAATAGCTTCAAGTGTTTTGGCCCACGGTTTCTGTGAAATGACAGTAAGTTGGCCTTTTGTGAGACCGAATGTTGCCATATGGCCTCAAAGTGGAAACTGTCTGGTTGTGTTTTGCTCACACATGACCCACATGCACATAGGGCAAAACACATCCCAGCTCACCCTCAAACCACCTGACCCTTCAGCAAGCCTAAACCCCCTCCCCCCAATGCTGGGGGGGCTCAGCTGTGTGCTGGCTGACATGACACCTGTTGACATTGCCGAAAACTGTGGCCCAGATACATTTGGCCAGGATGTGGTAAACTCATTCTGCAATACATTTCACAATTTAACACTGGTTTGGGTTTCACATTGCACTTCAAAGCATTGCCGGAGTCCGTTTAAAGTAAAAAGTTCACCAAACACAAGTCCACCTTTTGCTTAGTGGTTGTGACGTGAGTTATGCGATTCTTACAATGGCATTTCACTTTTTAAAATTACTAAAGTGGTGTATATTGGGTTATGTCCTTTAAAAACTGTTATTTCAAGATAAACCAATATCTTTTGATTGTGTTTGAAATGCCACAGTTTATTTAGTTTTACAAGGTTTTTGTTTTAAATCTTCACTTTTGTACAGTTTGGCACAACTGACGATCACTATTTAACCCTGGCTGATATCATTAAAAATGTTTTGTGAAACACAAGCGGCGCACACTGTTTGCATATTTGGGAAGTGAGATCCAAAAGCAAAGCCGCCAATCAAGTTAATGGCCAAAGAGAATTAAAGGGAAAGCTTCAAGATTGTAACTTTTAAGAAAAGAAAAAGAATGAGAGCAGAATGTCAAAACGTTACGCCTACATTGGCCACCCACAATGCATGACAACCAACACCCACAGGTCAGTCAGACATGTGGGTGTGTTAAGCTAGTAGCGGCTAATGTAGCCTCACAGATAGAAGGAGAGTTGTTAAGAGATCCGGTTAGCTCTCCTCTTTCTAATTTTGTTTCATTTTTAAACTTGTAATCTTACGCCCGAATTGATGATGCCTTAAGTGACATCACGAGGCAATTTCCAGAACATTTGCTGCCTGCAGCTACACAGCCACAAAAGGTATTTTCCCAGCCTTTTCCCCAGGCAGCAGTGAATCAATTTGATTTGTCACATGAAGCCTTACAAGGTACATCTCCTGTAAAATGCACTTTTAAATCAGTGGAGTTCCTCTTTAAGACAAGGCAAGTTTATTTAAATAGCACAATTCAGCAGCAAGGCAGTTCAAAGCGCTTTACATAAAACATTAAAAGCATCGAGACAAAGAGCAAAAGAAACACATGAAAAGAAAATACATTTGAATACAAGTCATTAAAGAGCCAAGAGAATAGAAAATAGAGCCAAAATAGAACAAGATGTTTATAAAACGCATGAACAAATGATCACAGTGAAGTAATTATTCAAGCAAAATCCACACATCTGAGAATTGATTTTCATACCCTAAATAATTAAACTGAGATTATCAGGGCTGCTGTAAAGATAGAAAATAATGCTGTATATAATGTGAAGAAAATCATTGGAGACCCAACCTAGTGTTTTTATAAAAGAGATTAATTTCTGGTTACATTTGCTCTACACATTTCAGGTTTGTGCAGGAAGAAGGAGGCTGCTTCGTCAGTATCTCACTGTTTGGTGATCACTAAGAATAACCGGGCTCACCGTGGGAC